CAATGCTTTTAACTTTACAGTGCCATTCAAGTGCGCTCTCTCGACCCCCAGTTATACTACAGGGTCGGTTGTTAACCCAACGCTGAGAGGGTTGAGATTTCAGGCAATAAAACCGGCGTGATTCTTCGTATTTAATTCGACTCAATAGCAACTCCTGCCATACGGAATCGACAAATGCACAGTCTTTGAAAATCTATGATATTCTGATATATCAATGTTTTTTTTTTTCAATTTGCAATGGTGTTAGATGTGCGTATATATGTGTTATGTGTGGCAGTCGTTAAGATAAAAATATAACTAAGATTCATAAGTAATATATATTATAATAGATAAGTGTGTGTGTATCAATCTAGTAATAATTTTTTCAATGTTACACTGAGAAAAATGGTCTGGTTGGATTAAATAGTAATTCTGGTAAAAAATGAACAAATCAGAATTTTCTAGTTAAATCTGTTAGAATTCTAATCGAGATAACTGGAATTCTAATAAATTTAACTAGAAAATTCTGATTCGTCCATTTCTAACCAGAAATTGTTTTCAGTGTATTTTTACATTGTACAAGATCTGTTCAATGTAAGGATATCGATAACAAATAAAAAATAGATGTAATACGATATATTTAATTATTCTATCAAGGTCCATGATTAGATCAGCAACGATAGCAAAAAAAAAAACAATTACAAATAGGACCAGAGCACCAAAAATATTTCTAACATAAAAAGCACATTATCGAAATCAATTGTGCAACTAATTGGCATAAACAAATTATTAAATATTGACTATAGAAGGGAACTGATCTAATTATGGGCATTAATGTGTTGATATTATATTATTGTTTTTCTGACATAAAAAGCACATTATCAAAATCAATTATGCAACTAACTGTTATAAACAAATCACTAAATATTGACTATAGAAGGAAATTGATTTAATTATGGGTCTTAATAGGTTAATATTATATTATTGTTATCAAATATATTACTTAATACATTTATTCGCCATTAAAATTTCTCATCATACTGTTCTTTCATTATATTTATATTATGCTTATATGTTTATAAATTCATACACTGAAAAAAAATATAGTCAATTTTAATAAACATTTAGTTGAATACTGCCAACTAAATATTTATTAAATATAAAGATATATTTATTTGATACAAGCAATGTTAATTTGATTTAACAATCATTTTTTTTACTGAACAAATATTTATTTACTGTAAGTAAATGTTTAGTTGGCAGTACTGAACTAAATATTTATTAAAATTGACTATATTTTTTTCTCGATATATTATCTCCTTTGAGTGTATTATCTCATTTTCAAGAGATAGAAATCTCTAATCTAGAAATATGCACATACGTATGTCAAAAACGTAAAAAGTAATCAAAAAGTACAGGTGCAAGTTTAACATAAATTGCTATCGAAATTTATTATAAAATTATTAAAAAGGATTAATAAGTAACACTCATAACCAGAGTTACAGGTAAGAAAATTCAGTTTACGAAAGTAAGACTGTACTACGTATTCAACCTTTGCACCATAAGTTCTTGCATATTAACTTGGGTAGATTTTTTAGTTAATGTAAATATGTGCTCGTTACCGTCGGCATATATAACATCTTTAATACTTGAATTTAGAGTAGCAATGCTTTCCGCAATTAGACACCGTGTTCGCAGAACAATGTAATATTCGCAGAGTTCTCTCCAGACGCCGGAATATAATATCATTCCCCAGTTCGCTGTTTTAATATTAGATACGAGGTAAAAATCATTAAATTGTATAATATATATGTATATCTTAAATAATAGAATTAGCATATTGGATAGCAAAGATTGGCCTTATTCAAGTGATGCAAATGTGATTAATATCATTTAGTCATATTATATATATATATTTACATGTTCTAAACAATGATATAATAATTTTAATGGAGAAATTACATTTTCAAAAATTTAATAATTTCGGTCTCATAAAGTTAATCTTAAAAGATAATTAAAAATATGTATTAGTTACAGAATGAAAATAGAAGTAAAAGTAATCACATGTAAAAATAAATAATTACAAAAATTTCCATTTGTTAGTAATAATATTTAAATAAATTAGATAAATAAATTAGATGTGTAATACATTTGTATAAAGTCCAATGTTTAGTGCCATTTAATTAAAATGCAGCTAATTACATGCTGCTGATTACATTATCGTCAATATAATATTAGGTACCTATATTAAGTACTCGTGTTTGATGATACCGAGAATTAATATTATTTCTGTAAAAATGTATCGTCCGTGAAGAAAATACATGCATTTTATTGTTGAATGATGTTCTAAATTATTCAAAAGTTAGAAAGTTAATTAATTACATATTATTATTAACGTTCGAAATATACCCAGATAGACAGATATACATAAATTTTACTGCAACTTTACGTTGTATGCGATCATTAAATGCGTAATAGATAAGCCGATTGTGATTCCAAATATTGTAGTCGTATTTAGTAAATCAAAAAACGAAATTCCATGACGCAAATATGATGTAAATATGAAAAACAAAAATCTGATTCTTAGTGTCTCATATTTACATCATATTTGCATCATGATATTTCGTTTACTAATTTACTAAATATTGCTGCAATATTTCGAATCACAATCGGCTCATCTATGAAGCATTGGATGATTCTAACATAAACGTGAAATTGCTGTAAAGTATACGTACATTTGTCTACTAGGAATATTTTAACGAAATCAAATTTAATTATAATTTAATTTGTTTTTTTATTTTCAGAATATATTTATTAAGTTTATTAATTATTTTTATGTACATACAAATTCTTATAAATATATAACGCAATTATAAATATTCTTGAAAACGCATGAAGTATCGACGGGATTTGAACCTAAAGCCGCGTATACACCTAGCAAACGAACACCGAATAAACAGCGAACGCGAACATTCATTGGTTGCGTTCAGCAGATGGATACGTCAAAGCGAATGAGAATCGAACATTCGATTCGCGTTTGACTCGGTTCCCTCATGAAGCGGTACATCAAAGACAATTCGTGCGCGATTCGTGCGCGATTCGTGCGCGGTGTAGACGTGCAAATCATGTGTTCGCTATTTGGCTGTTCGTCTGAATGATCCTCTATTATCTAATATGATCCTCTATTTTTCAAATATGAAATTTATCTCTAGAGGAAAGTCACCGATACTGACATAGGTCTCCTAAAGTGACACCCCCTTATTTCGTAGAAATTAACTATTGCACTTTATTAATACTAATAAAATTATTATCTGTTTAGCCAATTAAAAAGAAGTACAAACTCATAATTCATATATTTGTGACTTATTTCTATACCAAATCAGTTAAAACCAATTCTATGAATCCGAGAAGAAAATTCTTACGGTGTTCTTTTGCAAATTGCGTAATTAAAATAATAGTGACTGTATTATTGATGATATTATGTCATTTTAAATGTTTATAGTTTCATAAAT